ATAGATACAGAGAAGGCCTTTGACAAAATACAATAGCCTTTTATGCTAAAAACTCATAACAAACTAGGTAGCAATGAAACGTATCTCAAAATAATAAAAGCTATTTATGACAAACCCACTGCCAATATCATACTGAATGGGCAAAAACTGAAAGCATACTGTTTGAAAGCTGAAGGCCTATCTTGATGACATGAATTAGGTATTTCCTTTCAGCCATATAGACACTTTGTACACCTTTTCAAAATACTTTGTAGAATGTATTTTAATTGATGCTTGGCTTCCTTATCAATGCATCCCAACAGATCAGAAAATCTATGGGACCAGATATTATAATTGTATTCACTATTGTATTTCTGTACCTCATGTATAGTAAATACACACATTATGGATTTATATGTGAAAATATAGAGATTAAATAAAAGGATCTCTAAAATTTAAGTTGTTATGAGAATGGAGGTCTTACATTCCTGTCAAAATGTGTAATGCTACAAACTATAGATTAACTTGCCCATCAAAAATAGAACTTTTTAAGTTAAAGGTAAGTTTTGGCAGTGTCAGGAAAGGGTTAGACAGTGAATCCGAATGGATGGGCTGTAGATTTCTGAGAGGGGTGGCTGTGGAATTATTAAAAGCGTTATCCAGAGTACATGAAACACTGTCTAAATTGCCCATCTGTCTTCCACACAGTAGCAAATATAATTTTCATGTGTATAGGTGCTGTCATGCCTAATAACATGCAAATTCATATGAAAGCATATCTGCTGTAAAGATAGCATTTATCCCTATGCATAGTCCCAGAGAAAACTAAAATTGCTGGTATAACTGGGGAGGGGTATAATAGAGGGTTATACAGTTTTTATCTTTGAAAGGAAGCTATTCAGAAAAGATTGGAAAGTGCTTGCTTAGAGCAGAAAACTGCTGCATCAGGATAGGCCTAGATACCAGTACGAGTATTGTGAGTTGAGGTAGGGCATGGGCTTTGGAGTCAGAAAGGCTTGGGTTTAGTACCAGCTCTGATAGAGCCAGGGTTACCAGAGGTGATACCATCACCATCCTCATTCCTCAGTTTAGTTTCAACCTCAAAGGTTGTTGTGGAGAGTCATTGAGAGCCTGTATGTGATAGACTGAGAATAGTGCCTAGCACATAGCAAATGCTAAATGACTTTTAGCTATGATACCATAACATGCTGTATTGGGCTGGGTGTGAGTGTTACTTTACCTGACAGAATTGAGAATACTACACATCTGCATGAGAGGGAATATTGTTATATGGAAATGGTGTGAATTATTGTTATATAGAAGTGGTGTGGGACTACCACAGACTCCATATATTGCCCTGTGTGCCTAGGGTCAGACCTGATTGTAGCGCATTTGCTCTGTGCCAGCACTTTAACATGCATTATTTCAAGTTTGCATGCTATATACAAGTTAAGTACTCTTATCTCAGTTTCACATATGCGAGAAACAGGCTCAGAGACATCTAAGGATTTGCCCAAGAAAATACAGCTCATGGAGTGACAGGGCCTGAGTTGGACCCAGATTTATCTGGTTGAAGGCAAATGCTGAGGTTAATTTTGGGAACAAAAAACATAAAGGGAAAAGGAAACCCGGAATCTCAGCACTGCATTTTTCCCCTCCTATTCTGTTAACAAGCTATTAGTCAGCATTCAGAGCAAGTGTATGTTCTCAGGAACATAGAGATGGGATGATGGCTCATTGTAATCTAACTGAAAAGTAATTTATGATTTCCTTTGACTCTAGTTTCCACAGTCATTCTATACCATTTCTCATTCCGGCTACTCTAAGTGCTGGAGAATGAATGTGCTTTGGGTTCCTTTCAACCCACTCTATTTTCTCTGCAAATTACCCTGAACCACTTATTAATCTACTAGTTATAGAGCAACCATACAAACACAGATGTCTAAGAATTGGAAGCATTGATTAAAAATCTTTTTATGGCTTTTCATTTTATATTATACAGATGATAAAGGTGTGTTTTGGAAAAGAGAAATGACACCATTTGATATGGTTTGGTTCTGTGTCCCCACCCAAATATTATCTCTAATTGTAATCTCCATCACCTCCATGTGTTGAGGGAGGGACCTGGTGAGAGGTCATTGGGTCATGGGGGTGGTTCCCCCATGCTATTCTCATAATAGTGAGGGAGTTTTCATGAGATCTAATGGTTTTATAAGTATTTGATGGTTCCTCCTTCACAAGCTCACTCTTTCACTTGCCTCCTTGCAAGATGTGCCTGCTTCTGCTTCTCCCATGATTGTGAGTTTCTTGAGGTGATGGAGCCATGTGAAACTGTCAGTCAATTAAAAACTCTTTCCTTCATAAATTATCCAGTCTTGGGTATTTAATGATTTTTGATAATGGAGTTTGACCCAGCTTCTTAGTTCAGAAAAGAATTTTATAATCACTGACAAAAATAATGAGGTTTTGGTGTCTAGTATAAAATATGATTTTGAAGTATCAAAAGAGTTTAATACATTTAAATATGTTAAATGATCTAGTCGAGATTGCATTATGAAAAAACAAAGTGACATTTGATTCCAGATCACATTAATGTAGTATTAACTATTGTTTTATTTTTATTTATGTAAGAGTTCTTTTATCAGTATGGAAGAGTACTTTTATCAGAGGAGTTAACAGATTTTTAAAGTCTAGTTTATTTTGAAGCCAATGGATTATGCCACTGACAGCATGAAATGAATTTTGGTAAATAATTTGTTGTGGTATAGTGTAGTAAAGAAATGTAGGAAAAAGATAAGGCTAAATTGGGAAACTGCTTAACAACTGTTGTCTTTCCTCATGTAATCAGGTAAGAGGAATATGTGGTAATCTGAAGATCTCTTAGCATCTGATCATAATGGCTTTTAGGGGTGCATAACACAGCATTAAGGAAATTTTTTTTTAGTCTAAGTGGTACTTGTGAAAAATCTGTAGGCAGATTTTTTTGCTCTTCTATAGCTTCTTCTCCACTTCACCCTGTTCTTTCTTCCCTCCTCAGCATCCTTTAAGTGTAGTTTGCCAAATAATATCTGGGTGTCTGCTAAAGAGTGGAAGAAACTGTAGTTATCTTTCCTCCCTTCTCTTTACTTAGCCATGTAGTTAAATCACTGGTCATAATGACATTGTATATTTATATAGAATTGTTTTAATTTGTATACTACATTCACAAGCACTTTAATTCTTACAAAAATGCATCTGTTAGGCAGAGGTGATATTGCTAATCGTCATTATGCATGATAAAAATGAGGACTAGGGTGATCAAATGGTTTGTCCAAGTTCACAGCTAAGGAATAGCAGATTGGAATCAATGCCAGGTATACTTTTTATATTAATAAAATGTAGAATTTATATTTTTTTCATTATAAAATGAATTCCTATTTACAATGAAATTTTTGAAAAAATAAAAAACAGAAAATCTTATATTCTCTACATTCGAGGATAGTTATTTGGATTTTTCTGTTCAGATTTTTAATATACATTGAGATTTTTAAAATATAATTTTGGTCAACTGCACAGATACTCATATCCTCTTTTTTTCTGGTTGATATTTGCAGGTAGCCATTTAAATGTGTTATTAGGTTGGCCCAAAAGCCATTACATTTTGTGCCATTACTTTTAAGGGCAAAAACAGCAATTGCTTTTGCACCTAACTAATGCTATAAAATATTATTACTTGAATCTTCAAAATACAAAAATTAAACTTGCTCATTTTAACAAGAGAAGCAACATAAAAGTCAATCATTTACAACTTCTGGGACCTATGTTAACAGCCTGGATACATAGCCTGGTAGCATTTCAATTCAGCACATACAAATTATGAACATAGGTAAAAAAACAGAGTTTTTTTCCAATTTGATATATTAGCATGTATGACATATTATATATTTTAGTCCATATAAGTGAGAACTGAATATACATTTTATCAGACTGGGATTTTTTCTAAGTATACTATTTCTTCCTTTTAAAAATTGCTGTCTTTCTAGCTTTCTTGTCCCTTTCCTTCACATCACAAAGATATAAATAGGTGTGTGAGTAGTACCAACATTCATTAAAGACATAAATGTTCTAAAGTAGAGGATGTAAAAAGTAAATTAGGATACTTTCAAAATGTTGAAAAATTATTACAGCCTTCAAAGAAGTTTACAATAAGTGTGCTATACTATTGGAAAGCACCTATTTTTATATTAAATAGAAGAAAATGGGATCCAAACTTGTATACAGTGTTTAACCAAGTATGTAAAATATTCATAGAAATATATTGGGAAGGAGATACATCAACATATTGATGACAGTTTTTCCTAGGTGATGTTTGAAAAATTCAGTAAGTATTTATTATTTTAAATAGTCCCAATGATTTACAATAAAGAAAAACAAGTTTTGAGATAGAAATGGGGCCATCACCTGCATATTTGCTCTTGATATTTTTCTAGACTTTACTACTCAGTGAAATTTCTTTTCATTTGAATGACCCTCGCCCAGTCTATGTTAACAATCCCAGTGTCCACCAGTACACATTTTCTCATATAGGGTCTATAAAGTTTACTTTTCTCCTTAGTCTTCTTAATCTATCTGTAGATTAAGAAGCCTGTGTTTTAGAAGATTGGCCTTTTAATCCTCTTTTTGATTAAATGGACTCTGTAGAATAAAATGCATACAAGGAAAAACATTTACTTTATATTCTAGATGAGTATATTTATGATATGTTACATAGTAGTAATAATAAACATATTGATTATTAGTTAGGTCTATGTTCATGAATCATTTGGGCAATTAAGAATACAAGTATGGGACACTAAATTAAAAAAAACACAAATACGTGAATTCTCTGAAATTTAAAACTTTTCTTAAAATCTTTGTGGTTGTCAGTAAATTTCAAAACACTTTAGGAAAGCTTTTAGCAGCTCAAGAAATACAAAATAGTATAAGGAATCTTTTGCTCAAGCCAGAACATTCTTTAAACAGCACAAAAATTGATGTTTGATACAGTTTATTTTTAATTTCTGTATTTCTCCACAATGAATATAGTATATTGAAAGCATTTTGCATATCCTTTCTGTGAGATATGCATCACTTTTGATGATAGTTTGTCACCAAGGCAACCAAACCTTTGCTTAATGTCCTACACTTTAGTGAAATAAAATGCATGTCATTTTAAGTATAGCTTCTTTTTTTAATTCTTATTTCTTCACTAGAGAAGGTTTGAGACTTTACTTTGAATGAAAATGGAACTGTTTATGAATCTATTTTTCATAAAACACATCTTTCTAAGATGTGTTTTGAGTGATTATTCTCAGGAATATCTGCATTTCAGATCTGAGGACCCATTCTTCTCTCTCTCTGCCTTCTAAACTTGACATGTAACAATTATAGTCAGAATTAGCTTTTGGTCTTCACTCATCAAAGCAAATTGAACTACTTCAATCCCATTTGAAACACAACTGAGTATAAATAAGTAAAACATTCAAATAGAAAATGAAAGTGAAGCTATTCACAGATCCAGCTTGTAGAGACAGGCTAAGCAGTCACCCTCAACCCCACTGGTTTCAATTTCACTATGTAGTACCAAAATTAACATTGGTGCTTCTGAAGATTATGTCGGATATATGCAAATTCCAAAATCTCAACTCTTTCAGGATTCCATAGCCTGCTTTTCTCTTTGTATAGTGTTTTCATCTGTCAAGAGTAGTTTTGCTTCTATTTGTTCATGAGACTGTATGTAATGGAGAGTGATTTTTCTAAGACATATTCAAAGCCTTCAGTATGAATGTGCTTTCCTCAGGTGGAGTTGATTTGTTCTGTTTTACACCACTAACAATACAGTCTGTTGGTTGGTTGGCTCATTTATTCAAGAGAATATGTATGTCTAGGAATGTGAGGAAGAAGGTGGTGAGAGCAGAGTTTTCATCAAATCTATTCTGTGGATCTGGAGAGAATCAAACACATAGGCCTTGTTAACTTCTCAGTGGGAAGTTAACAGCTGTCAACCAGGGATGACTGTAAGAACTCTGTAGGATTCTCAAACTGGTATACAGTGAGTTCTCATTTTAGTTATTGTTTGTTTTTTGTTACCCCAAACTGAGTGGCTTTTAATAGCTTAAACACAGAATTTGTGAGCTGACCTTCAGGAGCTGCGAAAGTTGGAGAGATTGGGAAGGGAATGGTAAGAGGGTAGACCCATCCAATCCTTCAACAATATGAAGGATATGAAGACAATCTCAAAGCAATGAGTGAGTGACAGCAGCATGACGGAGAGCCCACTTGTTTCCTAAAGTCTGTATCATGGTAAAAGAAGGATGAACCTGGGAAACCAACCTGAGCCTGAGACAGGCCAGCGCTAACAATAGAATGCCCTCCATGATTCTGGCATTCTATCTCCATGGATCAGTTTCCCTAGGGTACTCCTGTTCTTCTCAGATGCTTTCCTTCTTCATAAGATCTCCAAGATTTTCACAGCAGCTCTCTTTTGACTTCACAAGATGTTGGGATGAAAAAACTGAAGTCTCAGTTCTTCATATGTAGTGAGTCAGGATGCGCAGTGTTTATGAGCAGGAGTGACTTCTTTGAGCCCTAGTTTTTTCCACTGTAAAGGGTAAATAATGTCTGCCTAGTCATGTCTATCAGAAATCAAATTTAATAATGCATGACAGATACTTTGCATTTTAGCGGGCGCTACTTGTATTGCTATTTATCTATTCCACCACATTTCTTGTATTCTTAGTTGGTTTGTAAGATTGCTAAATACCAAGACCATGTCTTAAACCTGTAGCTTTCGTGTCTAGTACTAAGCACTGTAGATTTTGGGACTCAGTAAATGTCTTTTTATGAGTGCTGTGTGCGCTTGATTCTTGAAAAAAAAAGCTTAAAACTTATAAGAGCACTTACTGTGTGCTATATGCTAAGTGATTTATTTATATTAAATCAGGCAATTTAAAAACTCTAAGAGAAATTGATCATTGCCATTTTACAGACAAGGAAACAAAGACCCAGAGTTGAAGTAGTTTGACCATGTGATCCAACCAGGATTTGAACACAGGCGGTCTGACCCTAGAGACCACTCCTTTTATCACAATGCTCTGTTAAAAAACACTTGTGATCCCTCACAGGATCAATAACTTCCCTCATTTAGGGAAAGAAGAGAAAATATCCATGTCTGTACAAAATGGGCAAGTGGCCATCACTGCTTCTAAGACTGAGGTGATTTTTGTATGTGTTTTGTTCTAAGTATGAGAGAATATTCTTCCTTTTTCAGGGAAGCATGAGAAGTAATCTCAGAGTGCAGAGAACAACTTCAGAAGCAAGAGTGTGGGTCAGATGCTGCTGCTCTAGCAGTTAACTCTTGTTGAAGAGTGCTCTTTTTGCTTCATGAAAAGTTCCATGAAGAACCGTTATTGCTCTATACAACTAAACAATAAGAACAATTACAGCAATAACATAATCACACTGAAAACATGGATTTGCCTGTAAGTCATCACTGTCCAACTGAAAACATGGATTTGCCTGTAAGTCATCACTGTCCAACTAATGTGTTTTTAAATGGAGAGATTGCTGACATCATGTCATGCATGAAGAGTTATTTGAAATGATGAATTTTCCCCAGAAGACAGTCAACTATGCTGGGCAGAAAGTGGTGGCTTAATGCAAATATCATATGCTGTAGGAACAAACAGACATGTGTTCAAGCCTAGCTATACTATATATTCACTACATGAGTTTGGTCAAGTTGCTTAACTTCACTTAGCCTTAGAAGATAATAATGAAAGATTCAGAGGATTATTATGAAGATTGCATTTTTAATTACAAATGGCGTATATGAAAAACAAGAATTTTTCAGCTGCCCCCAAGTGAGCTCTGCTTGCTTTAGCAGTATGGCTACCCCGGTTACCTAGATTCACTTGATGATTACATAATTACATATTTCTTTTTGGTTTCACGAACATGAGCTTAGATTTCTTTCAGGTTCTTAGAAAATTCAAATAGCAACAATAGTTGCTTGTCTTGGGCACTGAAACATAGCACCTTAGCTCCAGGTGCTTAAGAAATCCATATACATGCTATTCTGTGAATCACCATATTTATATTAAGCAGAATAGAAAAATAAGATTATGTCAAGTCAATGGCTTCATAAGAAGTTGTTGGGTTCTATGCACATGCTACTCTGTGAATCATCATGATGATCTTATATGAAGCAGAATAGAAAAATATGATTATGTTGAGTCAATGGCTTAATAAGTTGTTGGGTTCTATTGTGAATCTGAAATATGCCCCATGTATCCTACATGCTGATGTAAGTGTTAGGTAGATGGATTCATATGTAATCAATGAAGTTACAGCAGTTGTTTGGCTTCTCCATATTGATATGTTCCACACAGCTGTGTGACCAACCATCCTGGTTTCCTGAGAACTAGGACTTTCAGTGCTAAGACCAGGAGCGTCTTTCACACACTGAGACAAGTCAGTTGCCCTGCATACAGAGGTAAGTGGGATCCGTATTAAAATCAATTGTACAAATTTATCTTCTGTTCATTAACCATTAGAATTTAAAATAAATACCTTTATTAAAAGTTGCTGCTAAATGAAGTGACTGCATTTTATTTTCAAATTAAATTCTTAGACTTTGTATTGACCTTATATCAAGGCAGATATAAATTAACTCTCAATCTACATTGAGAGTCAGAATAGATGCATATTTTATATCTAAAAGGAAAATTGTGGCTTTGAATGGTTTAATACCTAATCAGAAGATAAGTTTTCAGACTTTATATAATTGGATTGCTTTTCAGATTCGTCTGCATCCTGAAAATGGCCATGTTTGCACATTAGTCTATAATATTATATTAATATATGATTTTCAGCTAGTCACCTAAATTTTAGAGCAATTTTAGAAAAACCTATGTAAAAAATATACCTTTCATAAAACTGCCATAATTATCAAAATTAAGAAGAATTAGAAAATCAGAAAGAGAATGAGATTCCCAGTACAAAAGTTATTTTGTCCCCCAGGAATGAATGGGTAGTATTAATTCTCATTTTCTGATAAAAGTACACAAACACTCAGGGATTGATGCAAAATCTTTTTTTTTTCACAAGTGGGTCTTTGATGCTTCTAGTGTGCCTCTGCTACTCCTGACAAATTTAGTTCCAAATTGTCATCTCCTAACCTTCATCATAGTGCTTCTCTCTTCTGCTTACCCAAAGGAAACCTGTTTTTCAGGAGATAGCTCAATATTAGTTTACACTGGTATGTAATAACATAGAACTTAAATAACTGTCCATATGCCAGACAATTATATTTTAACATGATGAATGTCTTAGTCTAAGAAACAGACTTCTAAGGTGCAATTCCAGGTACTAAGAATTCCAAGCAGTAGGAATGAAATGATGAGCTTCACCCTTGTTAAGTTATTCTATGTGATAATCATTTTTCTGAGTGAGAATTTAAGAGACATTGCTTGATCATGACTACAGATCTATGTCTGAGGCCAGGTGTAACTTGTGACTCTTGACCAACTACTTACTAACTTTACTTTCTTAAGCATTGATTTGTAGGGCCATGTGTGGTGGCTCATGCCTCTAATGCCAGCACTTTGGAAGGCTTGGGTAGGTGGGCAAATCACCTGAGGTCAGGAGTTTGAGACCAGCCGGGCCAACATAGTGAAATCCTGTCTCTACAAAAAATACAAAAATTAGTCGGGTGCAGTGGAGAAAGCCTGTAGTCCCAGCTACTCAGAAGGCTGAGGCAAGAGAATCGCTTGAACCTGAAAGGTGGAGGTTGCAGTGAGCCCAGATTGACTAAGCCACTCCACTCTAGACTGGACAACAGAGCAAGACTCTGTCTTAAACAAAAAAAAAGCTTTGATTTCCAAGTATATGAAATACATTGCCACTTTGGATTTCTAGGGACCAGACTAATTTTTACACTTCATTTTTCTAAGTTGACTAAAAATGCACATATCCATGGCTGAGACAAGAATCTGTAACTGATTAAGTAGAGAATAATGGCACCCAGGGATGTGTTGGCGCAAAGTTGTAGTTCTTATTTTTTCCTGCAGATGGAAGGAAGCACGGCTGTGTCTAGATAACAGATAGCAGTCCCTTATTTTTGGGAAGGTGGGCCCCTCAGTCATCTCTGGGGCATAATTCATGATCAAGATAGGCCAGTCATAGCAATTGTAGCCCACTTTACTTCTGATTGGCTTATGTGTGGATATGACTCAGTTCTGGTCAATGAGACATAAAAAGGAAGTATTACAGGGATTTTTAAGACATATTTTCTTCTCAATTAAAAAACAAAAAAATTAATGCCTCAAAGAAGGTTCTTTCCCTCCTGACTTGAATACTTTTGTATAAGACTGTGATATTTGGGGCTTTGACAGATATCTTGAGATCATGAGGTCATAACCTAAGGACAAAAATATAATGCTTTGAGGCTGATAGAGCAGATGATACTGTTGAATTTCTCTACCAAATGTAGAAAGACTTCTCTCTTGATTTCTTATTTTTTAAGGTTAAGTTTTATTGTCTAACATCTAGCCAAATGTTCTGTAATTTGTAGCCAAAAGCACTGTTAAGTATAAGTTCATAATAATAAAATAACATTTTAATATGACCTACAGTATTTTAAAATATTATGTAAAATAGCAATAAAAGCCTCATTTGAAAAGCTGACTATGTTTATTTTTCTTTTTTTTTTAAGATCAGATCTTATTGTTGTTATTATTATACTTTAAATTCTGGAGTACATGTGTAGAATGTGCAGGTTTGTTACATAGGTATACATGTGCCATGGTGGTTTGCTGCATCCATCACCCCGTCATTTACATTAGGTATTTCTTCTAATGCTATACCTCCCCTAGTCCCCCACCCACCAACAGGCCCTGGTGTATGATGTTCCCTTTGCTGTGTCCATGTGTTCTCATTGTTCAACACCCACTTATGAGTGAGAACATGCAGTGTTTTCCATTCTTGTGTGTTTGCTGAGGATGATGGTTTCCAGCTTTATCCATGTCCCTGAAAAAGACATGAACTCATTCTTTTTATGGTTGCATAGTATTCCATGGTGTATATGTGCCACATTTTCTTTATCCAGTCTATCACTGATGGGCATTTGGGTTGCTTCCAAGTCTTTGCTATTTTGAACAATGCCACAATAAACATGCATGTGCATGTGTCTCTATAATAGAATGATTTATAATCCTTTGGGTACATACCCAGTAATGGGATTGCTGGATCAAATGGTATTTCTATTTCTAGATCCTTGATAAATTGCCACACTGTCTTTCACAATGTTTGAACTAATTTACACTCTCACCAACAGTGTAAAAGTGTTTCTATTTCTCCACATCCTCTCCAGTATCTGTTGTCTCCTGATTTTTTAATGATCGCCATTCTAACTGGCATGAGATGTTACCTCAATGTGGTTTTGATTTGCATCTCTCTAATGACCAGTGATGCGGAACTTTTTAAATATGTTTTTTGGCTTCATAAATACCTTCTTTTGAGAAGTGTCTGTTCATAACCTTACCCACTTTTTGATGGGGTTGTTTTTTTCTTGTAAATTTGTTTAAGTTCTTTATAGATTCTGGATATTAGCCCTTTGTCAGATGGTAGATTGCAAAATTTTTTTCCCATTCTGTTGGTTGCTGTTTCACTCTAATGATAGTTTCTTTTGCTGTGCAGAAGCTCTTAAGTTTAGTTAGATCCTATTTGTTAATTTTGGCTTTTGCTGCCATTACTTTTGGTGTTTAAGTCATGAAGTTTTTGCCCATTCCTATGTCCTGAATGGTATTTCCTAGGTTTTCTTCTAGGGTTTTTATGGTGTTAGGTCTTATGTTTAAATCTTTAATCCTATAACTTACATTTATGGATTAACAATGTAAATAATATAAAATGTAACTAACATATATTCATGATAAATCTCTTGGTCTTCTTTTCCAACCTAATTGCTCCCCTGAAGTCTTCCCTATAGACAAGTACTGGAATTACCACAGATGAGAGAATATGGATAACTTGGGTCTTGGATATTTCAGATACATCACAGATTAAATTGGGTATTTTGGAATGTGCACGGCCACATGAATTCATGTCTCATCACATGAATTAGTTAACATCTTCATCTATCCACTTTCCTCCACACAAACACAGCACTTTATCTGCTGATCTTTTCTTCTTTCCCATGTTCATGGTTTTTGTTTTTCTGCAGCTTTGGTTTTGTCTTTGGTATTCTCTCTAGTTTTCCTCATTGACGAAGTGTCCTTTATATTCTAGATTTAGCTTTGATTCCAGCCTTGTCCTTTCTCTTGATTTCACTTCCTCATCATCTACTTCTGTTTCATGTATGAAGCCATTTTTTGATTTGGTCACCAAAGCAACCATCTGTTTTCTATACAACCCCAGTGAATTAGGAACTCCCGATAACTGCAGCTCCAATGTTAGTATCTTTCGGCATTGCTTAAGTACCTATATTTTTGTTGCCCTTCAGCTCCTGAGAAGTGGACGTGTAGTAGAAACAAATTTTCTCTTCTTTCACAAGAGTGCCAGTGGTCAAAAACCCAAGAGTTATAGAATAATACTATACTAGAGACTGTTTCATATATATTTCCATATTTTACATAATCTTAGTAATGAAAATATTTGCAGGCTAGAATAATGTAGCACTTTGAATTTAAAGACACATTCATGTGTATGTTTGTTGAAGCACTATTCACAATAGCAAAGACATGGAATCAACTTAAATTCCCATCACTGATAGACTAGATAAAGAAAATATGGTACACATAGACAAGGCATACTACATAGCCATAACAAAGAATGAGATCATGTCCTTTGCACAGATGGAGCTAGAGGCCATTATCCTTAGCAAAGCACAGGAACAGAAAACCAAATACCACATATTCTCACTTATAAGTGGGTGCTAAATGATCAGAACACATGGACATGTAGAGGAGAACAACACACCCTGGGGCCCTTTTTGAGGAGGAAGAGGATCAGGAAAAACAACTAATGGGCACTAGGCTTAATACCTGGGTGATAAAATAATCTGTACAACAACCCCCCTGATGTAAGTTTACTTATGTAGCAAACCTACACTTGTATCGATGAACTTTAAAGTAAAAAAAACAAGTTTCATTTTATATTCTAAATTTCTAAAACTTCAACTATCCAGGACTACTAATAAGGTTCAATAATTTATTTTGGCCAAATTAGTGAGCTCTGGTTGGCTTTATTGCTAGAAATTAGGTTTCTTCTAAATGTGTTCTCCAGCAATTTTTGAGATTCCTCATGAAGCAGCATTTTAGAAATTTTATATTTTAACCATTGTGAGGAAATGCAGTTATGTGATATGAAATAGTGATTTTTTTTGATTTTTTTCTTTTTACTCTAATTTATAAGCAGTAAAATTCACTTTTTATTGTTCAATTCTGTGAATTTTGATGAATTCATTGTTGTTTAACCACCACTAACAACTAGAAACAA